ACAGGGTCAATAAAACGATGTCAAAGGAAACAAACGCCCTTCAATACGAGGGACAGCAAGATCCAGAAGTAACTGGCAATCCACAACGAACCTGAAGGAGTAAATAGCGCGGTCACTTTAAATGCACAATTGAGCAAGGGCGGGGCACTTGGGGGCGTTCTATAAAGCCAGATAAGCGGAGGAATCGGGCGTCTCCGACTTTGTTTTTCATCAGAAAACTTCAGCGCTTACTGTATGACCACCGTGTAAGCTACGATTAAACCGGATAGCTTCACCTTTGAGTGTGTGCGTGTGGTGTTTGTTCGGTGGAGCACAGGTGATTCCAGAGGAGGCTGACAGTCTCTGTTAAATAATTATTACTTAAAATATTTTACTTAAAATTAGCAAAATAACAAGCAATACAAATTTAAGCAAATCAGGGAGAAAAAATACATCCTCTGCACCATCAGCAACCGAAGTAGCATCAAGCCCAGTGAGTCAATGCTCTATAGACACCATGCTGCAGAACGAAAGATTAAATACTTTTCAGTCAGAAATGAAAACTACTGCTACAACTACAAGAAGCTACAAGAAGCCATGGTTCAGAATCATGATGATTTGGCAGATAGGATGCAAAAGATAGGGACATCACCATAGAGGAGCTAAAGGAAGCAGTGAAGAACCAAAAAAACAATAAAACTCCAGGGACTGATGGCTTACCAACTAAATTCTGTAAAGGTTTAGGAGAAACACTGAATTGGATACTATTAGAGATATATAATGAAGCATTGATAAAGGCAAAGCTACCAGACTCATGGAGAGAAGCATATATCTCGCTGATACCGAAGGAAGGAGTAGATACCACACAAATAAAGAATTACAGACTGATCTCCTTATTAAATACTGATTACAAAATCTTTATGAACATAATGGCAAACAGGATGAAAAAAATATTGAAACATAGAATACATCCAGATCAGAATACGTTCTTACCTACAAGACAAATAAAAAATAATATAAGAACGGTAATCAATGTATTAGAATATTATGAGATGTATCCAGAAAGACAGGTAGCACTGATATTTCTGGATGCACAAAAAGCCTTTGATCAGGTTAATTGGCAATTTATGATTCACCAAATAAAAAATATGAAATTCGGGGAGAGATTTGAAAAAATGATAATTGCTATTTATACCAAACAAAAGGCAAGCATATTAGTGAATGGAGACAGTACCAAATTTTTTGGAATAAATAAAGGAGTATGGCAAGGATGCCCGCTTTCACCTTTACTTTTTATCTTGACACTGAAAAATTTACTTATAAGAATTAGGTCAAATAAAGAAATAAAAGGACTAAATGTAAAAGGAGAAGAATACAAGATCCAAGCATTTGCTGACGCCCTTGTATTCTTCATAGAAGAACCATTAAAAACAGGACCAATTTTAATAAAAGAGATAGAAGAATTTGGAAAAGTAGCGGGTTTAAAAATTAACAAAGATAAGACTAAACTGTTAACGAAAAATACAACAGCAAAACAAATAGAAGAATTAGTTAATCAATTAGGATTACAGATGGTAAAAAATGTGAAATATTTAGGTATAAATTTGACAGCCAGATGTGCAACAATAAAGGAGAACAATTATGGAATTTTAGTTCAAAAAATAAATGAAGATTTAGAAAAATGGGGGAAATTGAAATTATCTCTATAGGGAGGATTGCAGCGATAAAAATGAACATATTGTAGAGAGTCCTTTATTTATTTCAAACAATTCCGGTAAAATTAGATAATTTTTTTTTCAATAATTTGAACAGAATAACTACAAAATTTGTGTGGGAAGGGGAAAAAACCAAAAATCAAATTAAGTATATTGCAGAATGATAGAACTAGAGGTGGATTTGGTTTGCCAGCATGGGAAACATACTACAAAGCAACAAGTCTGACATGGATTAGAGAATGGGTGAATTTGGAAAATCAAAGGCTATTAAAATTAAAAGAACATGATTTGATGATGGGGTGGCACGCCTTCTTATGGAACACTGGGAACAAAACATACAAAAATTTCAGTAATCATATATTAAGAGACTCATTAATCTGTACATGGCAAGAAATTAAAAACAAACATTATATAAAAGTTCCTGGATGGTTATTTTATTTTATTTATATTTAAATTTATATTCTCAAATATAATGACTCAGAGCGGTGAACAGCCAAAGGTAAAAAACATAGAATACAGAAATTTAAAAGCAGTTTAAAATATATTAAACAATTTGGCCCAACAATTAAAATACCCCATTTAAAATTAAAATTAAAATTAAACAATTGGAGAAGTTAGGCCAGCCCGGCTTGTTGAAATAAAAAAGTCTTGAGAGCCCGGCAGAAGGTACGTAAATCCGGAATCATCCGTATCTCTGGGGGGAGCTCGTTCCAGAGGGCAGGTGCTTCCACAGAGAAAGCTCTCCTCCTGGGGGCCGCCAGTCAATATTGTTTGACAGACGGCACCCTGAGGAGCCCCGCTCTGTGGGAACGTACTGGCCGGTGGGAGGCTCTCAGTGGTAAAAGGCGGTCTCGTAGATATCCAGGTCCTAAGCCATGCAGCGCTCTAAAGGTGGTCGCCAACACCTTGAATCGCACCTGGAGGACCATCGGGAGCCAGTGCAGCTCATGCAGGAGAGGTGTTACATGGGAGCCCCATGACGCTCCCATAATCACCCGCGTGGCTGCATTCTGGACCAGTTGGAGCTTCCGGGTGCTCTGCAAGGGGAGCCCCATATAGAGGGCATTACAGTAGTCCAGGCGGGAAGTGATGAGGGCATGAGTGACCGTGCGCAAGGAGTCCCGATCCAGAAAGGGACGCAACTGGCGAATCAGGCGAACCTGATAGAAAGCCCCCCTGGCCACGGCCATCACATGTTCTTCACAATGGAAAAGAACACATTGTGTTATCCACAATGGAGGCGCTAATACACCCCAACACACTAGCAATACAAAAAATGATAAGATATAAGGAAATATTGGATTCCCAGGGACTATTAAAAACACAAGAAGAATTTAGAGAACAAAGAATATTAATAGACTGGTGGCCCTATTTACAGATAAAAATAAGATACAAAAAGGATCAAGAGGAAGGAGGAATTGAACTAAAACCGAACCGATTAGATAAACTGTTAGAAGCCAAGGAAAATTAATTTCAAAAATTTACAAATACCTATTGGAATTCGACCTAACAGAAGAATTAGTAAAAGGACAAATGATAGCATGGGCAAGAAACATTGGACATAACATACAATTGGAAGACTGGGAAAACGCATGGGAAACTAATTATATCATGACGAAATCAGCAGTTTATAGAGAGAATCAGTATAAAATGTGGTATAGATGGTATCTGGCCCCTTCGAGGTTAGCGAAGATGTATCCGAACTTAAACCCAACTTGTTGGAAATGTAAACAAGCACAGGGCACATTCTTTCATGTCTGGTGGCTTTGCCCCAAAATTAGGAAATACTGGGAAAAAATAAAAACTTGGCTAACAGAAATAACAGCAGAGGAAATAGAGTTGAAACCAGAAATTTTTTTATTAGGCATGATCAAAGGAAACCATAGCAAAGAAACAAAATATTTAATATTACATATAATTATGGCAGCCAGATTGGCATTAGTGCAACATTGGAAAACGGATCAATTGTCAACAGATCATCTAGTAATCCAAAAAATTTACAATTGTGCAGAAATGGATAAATTAACATTTGAGTTAAAAGACAAGGTAGACTCAAAATATTATACTGTATGGAATAGATGGTACGATTGGATAAGTCAAAAGAGAGGAGAGTAAATGTAAAATTCTATAAGAAAATAAAAGTAATTACTGCAAGTTAAAATCTCACCAGGCTCAAGGTTGACTCAGCCTTCCATCCTTTCGAGGTAGGTAAAATGAGGACCTGGATTGTGGGGGCAATAAACTGACTTTGTATAAAAAAGAACACCGCTTAGGGGGGCCCGAAAGCCCTACTAAGCAGGTATACATAAAAGTATGAAGGCTATTGCTTAATGCATTGTAAGCTGCCCTGAGTCTCCGGAGAAGGGCGGCATATAAATCTAATAAATAAATAAATAAATAAATAAATAAATAAATAAATACCCTTCCAAGTAGGTTGCTCTATTATCATCAAGCTTATAACAGAAGAATTTGCTTATTTTGCTACTTAAGAGGCCACTTTAAAAGATAAAAGATTGGATAGCATCCTGTCACAACTCAAGATTTTATAGCCTACAAAGGTGCAGTAGGAGCTAGGATAAAATGTATTTGATATTGCAAATATACCTCAGCACCTTTCAGAATTTAAGTTTGCCAAAGAAATAGTATAAGTGGGATATTGGTAGCTTTCTGTTAACAATATTTTTAACTGCCATTTTCCATTTTTGGGTTGAAGAGAGCAGCTGATTTAAAGCAAATTATAAGTCCCAATTACATTTCTTCCTTCCCTAGCGTTTTACCTGCAGTTACAGGGTTTGCTTTTTCCCTCCCGTTCAACCGAATGTTGAACCTTTGGTTGCGGTAAGGGAGGGAAAAAGCAAGCCCTGTAACTGCAGGAAAAACGCTAGGGAAGGAAGAAAATGGAAGGCTTGTCCCCGTCTGATCTCCTGGACTGAGAGGACTGGTTTTTTTATGGCTAAAGCGGGACTAGCGCCCACCGATTCCAGTAACTCACAATGAACTGGTTTGTAGCCCGATGTCTTAACCAAATTGGCTCTTCCTCCCAAATTCTACAGGTTCGAACTTTGTAACAAGGAATGGCTTCCTTTTATGTGAATGTCTGTTCAGTTCTATATAACACCACCACACTTCCACGGACATGAAATATTCAACACCTATCAATGCAAAACCGGAAGACTCGCGAGATTACTATTCGCGAGAGGGGGGGACGGGGGGGGAAAGAAAAAAATCTCGCGAGTTTTTGTTGATTGCGTTTGGAAAAGGAACAAACCGAACTCTCCAGTTTAGAGATAGGCTCGTTGCTTACTTCAAGCGCAGTGGCGCACGCGCAGTTGTACTGGCTGCGCCGGCCGTCTCCCTTCTGTCTCTTTCAGTGTGCGCGCGAGTAAGAGAGAAGCGAACGTAGAGGACGACGGAGACTATTCGGCAATTGCTCCTTCTCATCCCTTACTCGTTTTCCCACATACGGAGCGAACCGACGAGCTGGGGGCAGCAGAAGAAGCGGTAGGACACGAAGCGTTCGGACACGGCCTTGAGGAAGCGTTTAGGCATAAGGACCGAGAGTGAGGCCTAACTCGGGGCCCAGCCGGGAAATGGGACCGGTTTGTGTCAGGCGAAGAGGAAGCCGCCATCCCTGGTTTTAGGAACTCGTGGAAGCAACAGCTGACAGTCCCAGCCGAAGGAACTGTCTTATGTGAAGAGGCAAAGGCCGGCAAGAGAGTCTAGTCCTACCGAACCGAACCTGGCAAGGGGCCCCAATGGCGACTGCTTCTTTCTCCTCCACCTCTTGGGCGCCTTGACGGATTCTTGTTTGCCGGAGAGAGATACCGATGCCGAGTACCTCAGAGGCGGCGACGTCCGGAGGCGGGAGCGGTGTCCGGGCCTGGGCCGGCGGCTCCGAATCGCCAGCGGCAGAAAAAAAGCGTTTGCATCACCGGCGGCGGAAGCGCTACGCTTCGGCGCAGCCGCCCCCGTTGCCTCCGTCACCTGTGGCGGGCCCGCCGGCACCTTCGCTGCTGTTCCCGCTGCTGCAGCCCTCGCTCCTGCAGCCGCCGCTGCCGCCGCAGTCTCTGCTGTTCCTGGCGGCCACTGGCGGCGCCGCCTCCTCCTGCTGTGGGGAAGGGGGGGAGCGGAAGCGACCGCGAGGCAAGCGGCGATCGGGGTCCAAACGGCGGCGCGGCAGATCAGGGGGTGCAGGTGGCGGTAGCTCAGGGGCGGCTCTCGCAGCCTTGGAGCGGCGCGGGACTGGGGCGGGCTTGGGGCCACTGGTAGAGGCGGCGGCCGAAGAATACGACGACGTAAGCTCCCAGTCGGAGGGACCGGTGGGAGGCGGGACGGCCGGGGTAGTGAGCGGCGGAGGGAGTCCAGCGTCCTCCGGTGGCGGCGGGGGCAACCAACAACGCTCAAGCCGCGGTGAGGCGGATCGGAGCATCCGGCGACCGCGCAGGGAACACCGCAGCAACAGTGGGCGTCGCTCTCGGGAGCGGCACCGGGAACACCGCAGGCGGGGGGTGGACAAGGACAAGGCGTCGTTACAGCAGGAGGGGGTGGCCGCGGCTGCCAGGGGGGGAGCCGAGGCCTCCTCTTCTTCCTCTAAGTCTCGCAGCCGCCACAATCACAGCGGTGGCCAGGACCGAGATGGCTCCCGGAGCGGCGGCGGCGGCGGCAGCGACGGCCGCAGGAAGGGCTCAGCTGCGTCGCCTAGTAGCAGTCGGAAAGACCGGGAAAATAAAAGCCACCGGAACCGGACGAAAACAGGCAAAGAGCCTCCCTCAGCTTACAAGGAACCGCCTAAAGCCTACCGGGAGGATAAAACAGAACCCAGGGCGTACAGGCGGCAACGATCATCACTCAGCCCTTATCGAGATGACAGCCCAATTAGCCACAGAGCTTCACAAAGCCAACGGAATCGCAAGTCTCCCAGTCCCCGTTCTTCTCTTAGCCCTTATTGGCGTCGGTCACCCAGCTACAGCCGGCACAGTTCTTTCGAGTGTGGTGGGGATGTATCACCGAATCCTTACAGACGTCGCTCACGCAGCCCTTATAGTCCAGCCATCAGGTAATCATAAGGTTGAAGTTTCTTAATGCATTATTTTAGGCTATTCTCTCAAAATAGAATAATCCGATAATAAAGTGTGTGTCTTCCAGCTGGTTAATCAAATATAAGAGGGTGAAATGGGGTGAGATGGACTGAACATAAAATAAGGTATTTTTGAAACTTGGGCAACAAATGTTTTATGCATTTGGACCATCAATTACAATGGTATTAGAAATGGGCATTTTTAAAATATAATATTCTTGCATTACCTATTGCAGCTAGAAATAAGCAGTCCTCCTTGGAATTAGACAGTTTTTGAGGAAATTCAGCTGTTGAAGTGATGTTAAAAATCTTTTTGCAATTAAATCTCTTCCCAGTTATTGGCTAATACTATAAATTTGCATATTGGAGTATAATTTTCAGGTTAAATTGTGAATTCTGAATAATCAAGCTCTAGAGCAAAATCAATATTTGATGAATATTTACACTTAATCAGTTGATTTTATTTGAAAATATAGCTTTGAGAATTGTTTCTTAACTGCTGTATGTTTCAGTTTGTGTGTGTGTTTTACACAGACAAATACACAGACAAATACTCAGAAGTAAACTTCCTTGGGCTTAATGGGATTTCTAGAAAAAAGTATGTATTTCCTAACTATATGAAACTGCTCATTAGCTTTCATCAAATGAACAAATGATGCAACACTCTATCACTAGATAAACAGAAATATTGAGTATAAATAAGATGATATCCAGCAATTTAGTTCTAAAAAGAACTACAAAATAAAATAAGAAATAATTGATTGCAAGGGGAATTCGGTCTCTGTTTCTCAATGGTATTATAGGTTTTTCCATAAATAGCTTACAAAATAGTTTTCATTTTGCATGGTGGTGGGTGGAGGTTATTTCTTTTATGCTAAATTCAGTAGTTTTTTTATGTTATTAAAAGTGTTGGCCTCTGCTATAATTTATTTTCACAACTAACATATTTGAAAATTATATAAAGGAAATGTTTGTGTGAGTGAGTGAGATACTTTTGAAACATCATATACTTTTTAAATTACATGCACCTGATCCATTGAATTTCACACATATAACTTCATCTGCTCAACTACTGACTAGATGAAAATTTTCATACATGTTGATGATCTTTTTGCATTATGGATACAAGGAAAGTATTACAAACTAGTCACAACCTTTTCCAGTGCTATTTGTGACATGATATCTGATCCATACTGATAAAACAGGTCTTATTAGAAAGTAACTTCATGGTTGGTAATGTTCATATTTTGTTGCTTCTTTCTTTAATCATATGCCTCTTCTGTATTAATTATGTCAGAGAAGTTAGTGATTAAAAGATTTTATAAAACCAATTATTTTGAATCACTATTTCTCTTACACTTATGGATTTAATAATTCTGTCAGGGAATGAAGAACTTTAAATCTTACCTTCATTTACAAATACACTTATGATCCAGTTATTTGTTTAATTTCCCGGAGTGTGGTACCTAGCTACAATGATTGTTTTATTTCTAAAAAATGAAGTTGATTTTACAGACTTTATTAAATTTATTATTTATTTCTTATCAAATTTATTTGCTGTCCATCTCACAATTCAACACAACTCCGAAGAGCTTACTATTAGGAAACATTTGGTAGTGGAGATCCAATTCCTAGCTAATAATGGGCAGTACTATGTAATTTGCATTCTGTCTTTGTTCTACTTTTGAAATCTATAAATAGTTCACTTATTTTTACAGGAATGTGTGGGAAGCTGAAATAGGCTAAAACTGGATAGGTAAAAATAACTATCCAAAATACTTAATCTGTAATTGCATAATCTTGTTTAAGTATCTATGTAAGATACTAATGAAAACAGACCAATATTTATGTTATTTTCCCTGTTATTGAGCTGATTATCCTTAAAATGTCTTGGGAATGATATATCACATTTGACAATTCTTTGCTGAGAAATTCAAGTGATTTTCTGTTGCTGTTGAATGTTTTGGGATTTATGTTTTATTTTGCTGTATAGGAACTGCTTTCAGATTATTTTCTGTGAAGAATGTAGCCTCAAGGCAACAGTGACTTTGGTATAAATGGACATATACTGATACAAAATTAGGATTGTATTGTTTTGTGTTGATGATTTGAGTTTGATTAGCTACGTTTCCTTTCTGGTGAATGCTCTTAACTATTCCTGAAACATGTGTTTGCTATATCTAGTTAAATCTTTTCAGAGATTTGGAAATTCAACAAGTCAGGCTTTCTTAGTACTTGGATAAGAATCTTCCAAGGAATTCAAAATTGTATATTAATTACCAGAAGCTGCTGGACTTATGCATAGCTTTATAATATAGCATACTATATTGATTATTATTAAAGAATTGAACAGTGTTATACTAGTTTGTGTTTTAACAGATATGTTAAACATGTTTTTCTAACAGTCAAGAAAATACAAGATATTCCTGGTTTATCAGTTTAGCTTTTTGCAGCACTGAGAGTTGAAAGACATAATTAAAGTTTGAAGCTTTATTTTAAACTATTTTAGCCTCTTCAGTTTTGGTGTGCCCAATTACCATTTCTTCTAAAATTTGGATTCTAGCTACTTCCAGTAGTCATATGAATAGCTTACAATAATGTGGTTGCACATAAATATACATGCCCTCTTATAAGTAGGTAGGTGGCTGTGTTCAGAAGGAACCAATACATTCAAACTGATTATAGTAGTAGTACACCTGCAATCAAAGTGACCCTGATCAAGCCCATATTAAATTCAGCTGTGGTTGTAGGATTTTTCTGACATTTATCGTTGCCTTTTATAGCAAACACCATGGTCTGCACAGAGCTTGCAAAGTATGAGAGGGATCTCATTGTTGGAAAGTATACAGGTGAAGGATATAAAGAAATTGTCAGGGCATTAGATATACCGTGGAACACAGTGAAGACAGTGATCAAAAACTGGAGAGAATATGGCACAAGAAGTGGATGACCCTCCAAAACAAGAAGAAAAATAGGTCCAAGAAGCTGCCAAGAGGCCTATAGCAACATTAAAGGAGCTGTAGGACTTACTGGCAAATACTGCTTGTATACTACCTGTGGCAACTATCTCCCATATGCTACATGTGTCTGGCCTATGGAGTAAATGACAAGATGAAACCTAGCCACATTTTGCAAAAAGCCACATTAAATCTGACCAAAGCATGTGGGAAATTGTTGATCTTGATCTGATGAGATCAAGGTTGAACTTTTGGTCCATAATTACAAAAAGTATTGTATGTTTGGGGCAAAAACAACACTGTGCATCACCAAAAATACATTATACCCACAATGAAGCATGGGGGTGGCAGCATTATGCTTTGGGTTTGCTTTTCTTCAGCTGGAATTGGGGCTTTAGTCAAGTTGGAGGAAATTATATACAATTCCAAATATCAGTAAATTTTGGCACAAAACTTTCAGGCTTCTGTTAAAATGTTGAACACAACAAAGCATACCTCCAAATCAACAAAAGAATGGCTTCACTAAAAGGTAAAAATGGCCTAGACTGAATCCAAATGAAAATCTGTGAGATGACCTGAAGAGGGCTGTGCACAGGAGATGCCCTTACAATCTAATGGATTTGGAATGTTTTTGCAAGGAAGCGTGGGTGACAATTCCTAAGGCAAGATGTGCCATGCTGATAAATTCCTACCCCAAAAGATGGAATGCTATCATAAAATCAAGAGGTGCTTCAGCAAAATATTAGTTTAAGGTTGTGCACACTTAGCAACCATGTTATTGTACATTTTTATTATTTATTTATTTATTTATTTATTACATGTATTTATATGCTGCCCTTCTCCTGAAGGACTCAGGGCGGCAAACACAAGTTAAGAAACATGTACAATAAAATCCCATTTTAAACCAAATAACTAATTAATAATAAATAATAAAACCCGGAATCAGAGTCAGCCTATTTGCTTGAACAGCCAAGTCTTCAGGTCCCGACGGAAGGAGCGGAGATCAGGAGCCGTCCGGAGCTCGGTAGGTAACTCATTCCAGAGGGTGGGAGCACCCACAGAGAATGCCCTATCCCTGGGCACCGCTAGACAACATTGGCTCGCCGTCGGAACCCTGAGGAGAGTGGCCCTATGTGAGCGAACAGGACGGTGAGAGGCAGGCAGGAGAAGGTCCTGCAAATATCCTGGACCTAAATCATGTAGGGCCTTATAGGTGAGAACCAGCACCTTGAAGCGGACCCGGAGAACCACTGGTAACCAGTGCAGCTCACGCAGGAGGGGTGTTACATGGGAGTAACAAGGGGCTCCTGTAACAACCCGTGCGGCTGCATTCTGGATCAGCTGGTGTCTCCGGGTGCATCTCATTTTTCCCTCCTAAAAGATTTCAGTTTGTTTTTCAATTGAATTGTACAGCTCATGCATTAGATTAAAGGTAGAAAAAAATATTTTGATCTGATTTTTTTATATCTTGGAAGTCTGACATTTTAACAGGCTGTGTGTGTAAGATCTGTTTATATCCACTGTAGCAACTTGTCATACCTCTACAACAGAGGGCATCTGGTGGAAATCTTATGATGGCTAGATTCAGGGATTCAGATAACAAAAAAGGGCAAATGGCCCAAATTGTGAAGGTTTAAATGTTAAAACCAGAAATTTGAAACCAGAAATTAAATACCATTCACTGAAGAACATAGGCCAAATTCCAGATAATGCTCTCGCTATAGCATTTTTTTTAAACTAACTGAGCCTTCTGAATTAACAAAGCCCCTCACATAAAATGCTGCAATAATTTAAGCAGGACGTTGGCAAGTCATGGATTACTACTGCAAGATTATTGCTGTTAAACAGGAGGCGTAAACTGGTGAAAGCTGTGTCTTGTATGACAGAAGCCTTTTGTGCTCTAATGAAAAGCTGGATGCAAAAGAACCCTAAACTATAACTTTTGATAAGGGGTGCAGCACCATCTTGAATAATGCTTGTTTGAGCATCCTGATAGATATAATATGCCTTAAGGGTAAAGAT